CCGAGTTTGATCCGATATTGGTGAAAACATTGTTAAACTCTCCAACAATATCTGTTGTTTCTGTCAGGATTTTTTCACAGGGCAACTGACTAAATGAATTCAAAGTACGTGGTGATGTTTTAGTTGATTTATTTAAAATATTTATTTAATATATATCATACATGTACTTCTAAATATTGTTTATTTCTGCTATGTTTCGAAAACCATTACTCCTGACGAGACTACCTCATTTGCATATGAGGTGTGAAAATACCGATTTTGATTTCAGGACAAGTCAAAATACACTGTACATATATAATAATGAATTTTGCAGTTAATACTGTATTTATGATAAAACAAGTCATTGTCAGTGTCCCTGTCATGTTTTTATGAAAAGCATAGTCAGAATATGTTTAAATACTTAGTATTTAGCATAATAACCACAAATATGCATGAAACAGGTATAAAGACTAAAGTTTGAATGAAATTGGTCAAAGCATGCCCCAGAAACTGTTAATGACATGTTGATTTTTGGAACAATTAATGGCTGTCAGTTGAAGGTTTGCAAAATAAAACAAAGCGATATTCACATATATACTGGTATATCATGACTTGTGATGTACCAACTTTGAAAAAAAAAAAAACATTTAACCCATTATATCTTGCCTTGTACCAAATTTTAACCCAATCTGTAAAAATCATCTCTGTACAATGGGCAGAATACTCATAAAAAACAAAATGGCCACCGGTCCGCCATTTTGAAATGAATCACGAACGCACCTGTAACCCACTATGACTGATGTCGATGCCAAGTTTGAATGAAATCTGTCAAGGCATGTCCAAGAAACGATGATGACATGTTTGAATTTGTGATTTTATCCATTTTTGACAAAAATGCCTGCCATTCAGCTAAATTTTGAATTCTTGTAACCTTAAGAGCTTGATCCATCAATCAGCGTTACTGTAACTACAAGTCACATCAATTTTTTAATTTAAACCAATAGAATTTGCATGTTTATAGTAAGAATTCTACCAAGGTACATAAATATACTGTAGAACATGTATTTTTCGTGAGCATGTCTTTTTAGCGAATTTAACGAGCGAACTAATCTGTTAATTTAGATATTGCTAATGACTTCATTATAAATTCAAAATGACGGCCAAACAACGTCTTTTTCCCCCACACAGAAAACGTAATAATCTGGAGCGCTTCCTTATTACACTGGCCAGTTTTTCTTGGTTTTGATTTAGGTGATAACTGCGCATTTGTTTTGGCGGGCAACAGACAAGTATTGTGAAATCAACAAAGACAAGAGAGATTCGCTAAATCAACATTTCGCTGTTACGTCATTTTACCACAATTCGCTAAAATAGTATGTCGCTTTTTCAACATGTTTTACAGTAGTAGGAATTCTACCAAGTTGAATAAATGAAACATGGCAAAAACAATGTAGCTCATGCTTCTATAGCAGTATAAAGTAGGAATTTAGACCAAACTTACCCTTTGTCAATGAGAGGTGAAAGGTCAATTACACCATTTGACACAGGATCCGTGACTTTCTCATCATGCATTTGTACAAATTCTCTGCGAAAACATTAGACAGAGACAAATGATTAACTTGTGAATGAAATCAGACCAAAAGTGAGTTAAAGTAAAATATAGTTTACACCTAATATAATTTATTCATAGAAATAATCCCAATAAATATGAACAAAAGAAACAGGTAATTGATTGATTTACAGTTCAATCAATCAATTATGTTAATTTAACTTCAAATAATAAAATAACACGCTATATACAAGCAAAAAAAACAAAAACCTTATTTATTTATTTGACGAGTCAACAGGCTATAAAGCCCAGTAACAGATTCCTGTATTTGCTCGTGCAGCAAATGACAGGTGAGTCTATGTTTAAAACAAGACATATTTCATTGATTTTGCAGACAATGCATGCAATTTTCAGCGTCAGTTTCCTTCCACATTAGAGATGCATTCCAAACGAATGTTACAGTAATGTAAATTTATAATAATAGTATTTACAACAGGAGTTAAAATTGAAAAAAAAAATTTATAAGAAAGTATTATCTAATATCAATGACTATAAAACAATTAGGAACTCAAATCAATGACGTGCTATGTTGTAATTATGATAGCCAAAACAAATATGAAGTGGTGCTTTACATGGACAAACAATGAAACATACGAACACTCCTTACTTTTCTATGCTGCACGCGACACGTGACTGCCACTCAAAATAAAAGTTACAAGATTCGGAATCAGCTGATCTGTGGGGAAAAAAAAATTTAATAGAATTTTACAAGTCATGTTTATCAATCGAAGTCACGCCCACCCTGAATAAACCGGCTCCCTCTGAAAACCGACCATAGATCCCAGGTCCAGTCATGGTCAGTTTTGACAGGTTTTACTATACTTCAATTCTAAACTAATCTTGCCTTTTGAATTCCCTCACAATAGACATACCTGATAACAGGTCCTTTCCCTACTGTAGTAGAACACTGGAGTTCTATGTTTGTTATCTCAACAATCCCCTCACAATAGACATA